GGGGGGGGGAGGGGAGGCCCCGGAGACCTCGGGCGGCGGCGTTCAGGGCCACGAGGGGCGAGCGCAGTCCGCCATTACCTGCTCTCGCGGCGGCTCCCGGAGACGGAAAGGGCGCTGCCGGGGGCGGGGCGGAACCTTTAATGCCCCCGCGAGTTTCCGCTTCCGCTTCTGCTCGGCAGGGCTCGGGCGGGTCCGGAATCCTTCGGCGGCCGCTCCTTGGCCCCGCCCCCGCCTCGGCCCGCTCGGGCATTTCCGGAGCCTTTCGGCCCGACCGGCCCCGCGCCGCCCCGCCCCTCCCCGCCTCCGCAGAGCAGTGATGAGCACGGCCGCTAGGTGGCGCCGCGGGTGAAGCGCTGGGCCGGGAGGCGGCAAGCCCAGAGTTCGAATCCTCCGAGTCACTTGGCCGCTCTGGGCCTTAGTTCCCCCACGTGTGAAGGCAGCTGAGGCTCCCAAGGCATCGGAAGGCCCTGTTCCCCCGTATCTTGCTGCAGCCCAGGCGCAGCTCCCATTTCCATGCTGCCTGGCCCAGAAGTGCCTGATAAATGCTTGTCAGGGGCAGCTATGTGGTGCAGTGAATAGAGCTCTGGCCTTGGAGTCAGGAGGACCTGAGCTCAAATCCAGCCTCAGACACTTAACACCTACTAGCTGTGTGACCCTGCAAGTCACTCAACCCCGTTGCCTCACCAAAAAGCAAAAATAAATGCTTGTCAATGACTCATTTTCAACCAATAAACATTTATTAAGCGCCTGCTGTGTGCCAAGCCCCGTGCTGCTTTGAGACTTCCCAAGCCCTTCGCCCACCCTTGCGATGGCAGCCCCAGCCCTCGGCCATGCTCATACAGCCAATAAAGGGCGCCGACTTGCCCGGGGTCACTAGGTGGGAATTGACCCCAGGTCAGGACCCTTCCTGCCCTCTTCTGAGCAATACCTCCCTACCCCCATGTACTCATTTATTGAGCACCTACTGTGTGCAGGCCCTGTAGATAGAGAGACAAAAATGAAGGGCACCAGCCTTGGGGTCCCCCAGGGAGGTCAAAGTGCCGGGGGAGGGCCTGGTCTGGATCTGGTCAGCCTCCCCAAGATGGGTGACTTTTACAAAGTCCCTCCATCTGGAGAGTGTGTGACTCGTCTGTGTGGGGGGGACACATCTCTGGACCCATTCCTTCCTGGCTACAGTGAAGGGGTGAGCACCCCTCCCTCTGTGTGAGTGCCATGGGGTCTCAAAGGTCCGTGACCCTCAGATTCCCTGGCCCCCCATCTCTCTGGGATCCTCTGCCCAGCCCCCCTCCAGCAGCCAGGGGCCCCTTCCCCCTCCAGTCCCCGGTCTCTACCCAATACCCAGGAAGGACAGGTGGCTGGGGCTCCGCCCATTGGGGCTCTCACCCCGGAACCTGTCCGACCGGTTCCCGGGGCTCCCCCCTCAGAGAGCTCCAGCTATGGCCACTGCCTCCTCGTCTTCCTGCCCGTGCCCGGGGCCTCCTCCGGCGGCTCCTGCCTCCGGGGCATCCCCGGCCTCTTCGGGCCTGGGCCGCTGCCGGGTGGCCCTTCTGCTGGCCGTGGTCCTGGATGTGGCCGGGATGGTGGCCTTGCTGACCGGGGTCTTCGCCCACCTGCAGGTCCAGGGCCGGGACTTTGGAGACCTCCTCATCTACTCGGGGGCCCTCATGGTCTTCCTCAGCCTGCTCGGCTGGATCTTCTGGTACACGGGCAACATCGAGATCTCCCGCCAGGAGCTGGAGCGGGACTATGGCCGCAGGCCGGGCACCCTGGCCCGGCTGGCCCACAAGCTGTCCAGGCGCTGGTCTGCCCAGCCTGGCCCCGGCGGAGGAGGGGCCCGCAGGGGGGCCCGGGGCCCCCCCAAGCGCCAGGCCCAGACGTCCCGCCGCGTCCGCCTGCAGCTGAGTCCTCTGGAGGCCTCGGCGGCAGGAGCAGGGAAGGAGTGAGAGAGAGGCCCAGGTGAGAGGGGGGGACCCCCTTTTCTCTCTCTCGTCGCCTCCTTGGCCAGAAGTCAGGGGGCCTGCTCTGTGCTGGGTGATCATGAGGAAGAGGAGGAGGCTGGATCAGTTATCCCCAACATCTCTTTACCCGTGACCCCATCACTAGAGTGATAGTGGCTCGGCTTCCTCATCTGCCCTCCCAGGGGCCCGGGAAGGAGCAGCTTCCCAGGCCTTAATGAGCCCCAGGCGTGGACAGATTGGTGGCAGGATTAGGTGCCTTCCCCAGCCCCCACCCTGTTCAAAGCTCCGGAGACGCACCTACTGTGTGCAAGGCACAATCCTCTCGGCCCCTCCTCTCTCCCTCCCCCCTCCACACCCCTCAGTCTCCATGCTCTTCCCTCCCTCTCATCCCCTTCTAGCCTTCGTATCCCCCTGTTCCCTTCTCTCCTCCATCCTTTTCAGAGCTGAAGAAGTTTAGACTTGGAAGGCCATCTGATCCAACCCGCACCCCCCAAAAGAATCCTTATTACAGCATGGCCAGTGAGAAAGTACTTCACCTTTGCTTGAATACCTCTAGTGCTGGATGCCTCACTACCTCCGAAGCAGCCTGTGCCCCTTTTGGGTAACCCAGTTAGGAAGTTTCCATTCAGCTGAAATCTACCTCTTTGGAACTCTCCGCCCCCCCCCCCCCAAATCACTGCTCCGGCCTCCCATCAGACCTTCAGACACTCGAAGGCAGATGTCGGGTTCACCCTCGGTCTTCTCTGAGCTGGTGCCCACACCCCCTATTCCTTCACGGGCTCCTCCCACAGTTTGAACTTTATAGAGGCCCTCCTCCAAATGGAGCATGGAGTCTGGCAACAAGTCCATGCAGCTGGCCTGTCCGCTTCTTATTGCTAGACATTCTACAATCTCTATACTTGGTTGTTTTAATCCTGTATCACTTGGAGACCCGTATTAGACTTGTGGTCCACTAAGACCCTCAGATCTCTTCCAGATAACTGTCTACCCATCTCAAAGAGAGGAAGGAAATGTGTTGCCTTGGAAGGATACTACAGGTATCCAAGCGAAGGCGGGAAGACCACTGGTTGGGGGATTGTGAAGGGGATCTGTTCAGCTGTGAGCTGAAATACACGCACACATATACGCACATACATGTACACATACATATAACATATACACACATAAGTACATGTGTGTGTGTGTGTGTTTGGAAATGCTGTGGTTTCTTTGACGTCCATTCCCTTCCTTCAAGCCCCTGCTACTGCTGTCTCCCCCTCAAGCTCTGCTGTTCCCAGCCATGCCTTCTAACCCTCTCTCTCCAACCTGCTGTCTTCCTATCCCTTTTTCTTTCATCCCACTCTCTTGTGTCCACCCCTTTCTCTCCCCATTCCGCTGTCTATCGCCATCCTTTTATTTCTTCCCCGTCTCCTTTTTTCCCATCTAGCCCCTGACACCTTGATAACTCTTTCTTCTCCCCTATTCCCTCTTTTCCCCCATTCCATTTTTTCCCTCAATCATCTCCTTCCTGGGGGGGAGGGAGGGATGCCCGAGGTCGAGCATGTGTGCACATCCCTGCTCCTAGAGGGGCTTGGGGCTACAGCTGGCACACTTATGCTGTTCTCTCTCCAGCAGGTGCCCCACCCAAATCTGGATGCAATGGCAGAGACTGAAACGGCCCCAGGGCCAGAGAAGAGCCCCCTTTCCCTCAGAGACATGGTTCCCTACTCCCACCTCCTCCCCACTGTCTCCTCCCTTCTTCCCCATCAGCTGGCCTCTGGATAAACACTCCTGTCTCCAACTGGACTCCCACGTTTGTATCTTTGGGCACCTTTAGGAACCAGTTTAAGAACCTGGGGTGCAGGAGACCTCGCTCTCTGCAGCTTTCAGCACCAGGGAGACTTTGCCTTCCCTGGAGCCCCAAGGGTGGGGGGTGGGGTTCCCTCTGATAGTTGGACCTGGAGAGATCAAGGGAGGGCCAGGCCCCTTCTCTACATCCCCTCCCGTTCCCTCTCCCCACTCGGGTCTCCCCTTGGTAGACGGGGACTCCACCGTACAGGAGAGGTCACACCCACTACGGTCCTGCTTCCTGCCCTTGCCAGATTCCCACTCCTTAAAGGACTGATCGCGGCAGACTGAAGAGGTGGCTGTGTTTGTAGTCACGTGACCCACGTCCAAGGTTCTGCCACATTCTGTGTGACTGTAGACAAATCACTTATTCTCCTGGGCTCCCTATATGTGACATGAGGGTGTTGGGCGAATATAGCTTTGAATCTGTGATCCCATGACCAGGAGGCCCAGAACCACCCGGGGCTCTGCCTGTGACTCCCCTGTAATTACTGATCGGTCTTCGTAGTGGGGCTGGTGGAGGCGAGAGAAGCTGAGGGGAACGCCAAGGACCAGAGATTCTGGCGTCATGGATTTCCAGTTGTTTGGAGAAAGACCAAGCGTGAGGAGCTACGCGATGCAGTGGAAAGTTCTCAAGCATGAACTTCTGATGACCCAGAAGTGATTTCTCTACGGAAAGGGAGAGAGTGTCACCTAGAGTGAGGTGTGGATGCACCGGCAGCTCTCGGGAGAACTCTCACCTGTGAGAAGACATGGATAAAAGACTCCATCAGGGTACAGAGCAGAAGATGAAAGCCCAAATAGAGCATGGTCCTACAGGAATAATACCAGAAGGGGAACCTGGAAGTTGTCAAAGGAAGCTAAGGGCTCTTTGTTCCGTGGTTTCAGTCACGCCTGACTCTCCGTGACCCCATTTGGGGTTTTCTGGGCAAAGATATTGGAGTGGTTCACCATTTCCTTCTGCAGCTCGTTTTACAGATGATGCAGCTGAGGCAAGCTGAATGAAATGAGCCGGCCAGGGTCGGACCGCTAGAAAGCGTCCGAGGCCAGATTCAAACTCAGGAAGATGAGGCTTCCTGACTCCAGGCCTGGCTCTCTATCCACCCTAGCACCGAGGCTGCTATACCGAGGGGGGAGAACAAAAAAGAAGGAAGAGACGTCGTCCAGTGTCTCTGGACTGGGGTGTGTATGAGCGCATGGGCGGCAGGAAGCTGAGCTGCTAGATGGACTCTGGCTTGGCTTTTTTCTTCTTTACTCTCAAGAAGGAAAGAGTAGAAGGATTAGATGGGGAGATCTCTGAGCCCGTCATAACAGAGTGTGTGCCTGCTCTTGCCCTCACCCAGATGAATGAAGTCCTCTTTGGGTCCTGAGAAAACTGGCATATTGCTCAGTTACTGTCCATGATCACAGACGGTAGCAGAGACCCAGAAAGGTGGCGCAAGCCTGGAGATGGGCAGATGTCCCGGGCTTCCCAAAGGGGAGCAATTCTTCACACTCTAGCCCGGGGAGCTTGGCTCTCTGGGCAAAATTCAACCAAGGGGGGAGTTGTGAGCATCCAGCAGATTCATAGTCTCCTTCAGTTCTGGCTGGGACATCTGGAGGCAGCCTTCATCCCTTGGGGTCAGCATGGTGGGGGTGAACCTCGTGGGCTCCTCTGGCCTGGCTATCAAAAAGACTGGACTCATGTCCGTGCCAGGAGGCGGCATCAGAGTAAGATGTCAGTTAAGTTTCACTCTCCGAAGAACGAGAGGCTTAGCCTCCATGCCCTCTGAGGTCCTCCTCCAGGTCCGGGTCTAGTATCAGTGGGAGGTAATGGAATTGTCTCCAGTGAGGTTCAAGAGCAGGATCAGGCTAGCACATCTAAAGCGGAGCTCATATGAGATAAGCCCAGGAGATCATCATGGTGGAGTGGATAAAGAGTTGTCCTTGGAGACAGGAAGACTTGTTGGCAAGACCTACCTGCTGGTGGCATGCACAGGATTCGTGGCCCCAGCCACTTAACCTCTGGACGCCCTGAGCAGCTCTGGGAAACCTTTAAGTCACAGAGCCATCTTCCATCTGCATCAGAGGAGGAAGTTTCCTCATTGTTGATTTCCTTACACAAAGGAAATCATGCGTCTAGCTGGGATAGGGGCTGGAATAGGGTTGGGGGAGGTGGGCAGAGAAGAAAGAAAGAAAATGACTCAAGGGTCTCAGTGGCTGCAAACACAAGAAACTAGAGTGATATGGAAGCCATAGAAACTAAAGCAATCTTAGGTTGCATGGAGAGAGGCTTAGTGTCCAGGACAAGGGAAGTGAAGGTTTTGCTTGTATTTGGCCCAGAGCTCTGCAGCTATGTTCTTCTTCATGTGTGATGCCCAGTACTCTGGACACAGTGGTCCAAAGAAGGGCCTGGGATGTTTAGCCCAGAGAAAAGGAGGCTAAGTTTAAGTATTTGAAGGGCTGTCATATGGAAGAGGGATTAGCTTAGTTCTGTTTGGCCCCAGAAGGGAGAACCCAAGCCGTGGATGAAAGTCCTAGAAGCAGATTTCTGCTTCCTAAGAGTGGGGGTTGCACCAGAGTGCAATGAGCTGCCTCTGGAGGGGGTAAGCTCGCTTTCTCCCTAGAGGGTTTCAAGCAAGAGCTGAATGACTTCATGGAGTTGTAAAGATTATTCTTGTTTAGGTCTGGGATGGGTTAGATGCCTCGGAGGGCCCTTTGAGCTCTGAAAGGGATCTGCTAATGCCCAGTGAGTCCTCAGTCAGTGTGCCTGGCCAGAATTCCCTCTGACCCCTTTGGCCCCAGTGCCTGGGACACCGGTCCCCAGAGCGATGGGGCCTAGCAAGGTCCCAGGAGCATTCCCCACCGCCCCCGTGTTCTCTCTGCCCCCTCGTCTGGTCCAGAAGACTCACCCATAGCCCTGGAGCTGACTGTGGCCAAGGAAGGACCCCGCTTGGAGTCCTGCAACAAGCCCCCAAGAACAGGCACCTACCGGGGTCAGGCCAAAAATCAAGGCAAGGGTGGCTTCAACCAAGGCTATATTTTTTCAAGGGCTGCAGTGCCCTAGTATTCATCGTCCTCTTCCTCTTCCTCCTCCTCTTCCTCGGTGCCTTCCATGGCCTCCGCGGCATCATTGCCAGGCTGCTTAGGGCCACCTCCATCGGCTAGGAGAGGGGACTGCTCCTTCTTCTTGAAGGAGAAGGAATGAGAAGAGATGGAGGACTTCCTGGAGGTTTTCGGTTTCCCCGAATCGCTCAAGCGCCCCGGCATCGTCAGACCCTTATGTAGGCCCCGGCGTTTGGCCCACCTGGAGGGGGAGATCATCAGGCACTCAATTACTCAATCAGCTGGTAGTAATGTATTGCTACAGTCCTTGAGAGTTGGCAAAAAAAATTCCCATTTCACAGAGGGAGGGACTGAGGATCAGAGAGGGTTCATTGACTGATGGGATCACAGATGGAGAGCTAGAAGGGAATTCAGAGGCTATCCAGAGTTACAGAATCACAGCCCGGTAGAGCTGAAGGCAGTCTTAGAGAAGAGGACCTCTTCGTACCACTAGCCCTGTCATGCTATGGGGGGCAAAGCTGAGGTCCGTGGAGGAGAAAAAGGGGCTTACTCAAAGGCAAGAGAGGAAGGGGGATCCAGACCCAGGCCCCCTGGGGGCCCCAAGCCCAATTCTCTTTGCACTCAAACCCAAAATCTGGCCCCTCACCAGAAGAAACAGATGAGAAAGATGAGCATGACCAGGCCAGCGCACGTCAAGCCCAGGGTCCAGAGGTGTTTCCTTCGCAAGCGCTCTGGAGAGGAGAAGGCAGGTGGGCAGAGGTGCCAGACCTGGCTGGCTGGGACCCCCCCGCCCACCTATGCCTGGGGGGGACTCAGGCCCCCTTCATCCCCCTGGGAGGACCCAGCCCGCCTAGCCTAGGGGACCCAGCCCACCTATGCTTGGGGGGCGCCAGCTCCCCTTCACTCCCCTGGGAGGACCCAGCCCACCTATGTCTGGAGGGACCCAGCCTACCTAGCCTAGGGGTCCTAGGCCTCCAGGTCCCCCTTTCTTGTCTCCCTTAGCCACCTAGCCATCTGTCATCCTCGAGGAACCACACGCCTGGCCCTTATTTCTTGTCTGAGTAGGGGGACCCAGAAATCTCGGCTTCCCAGAATGAAAACATTCAGGCCCCCATTGCCTAGACCCCAGCAGCCCCTAGCACACATTCACCTACCATCAGGCCTCTTGTGATAACAGTTCCCTTCCTTATAACAGCAGCGTAGCCGAAGACACAGGTTTGGGTTCTCGACGGCCTCCTGGCCCCCACATGCTTGCCTTTCCCACATGTCCCCTTCACAGCCTATGGGAGGGGATGGGGACCAAACATCCTGGATCCCTCCTCCCATGGGGATTCAAGGGTCCTGAGCCCCAGCACCCTCTAGACTGGGAACCTAGGAATCCTCATTCATCTCTAGTCAGAGCCCCTATTGGGGAAGTGGATGCTGTAAGCCTCCAGCCCACGCCTTCATTGAGAATCCCAGCATCCTGACCCCTAGCCTTCTCCTCCCTCAGAAGCCCAGGGGTACAGGGCTCCAGCCAGTCCTCATCCAACTCACTCCACGGGTAGAAGAAACCTTGAATTCCACTCCCATCTGGAAGAGAAGCAGGGAGCCCTGTTTGGAGGGGGGGAGGCAGAGTCGCAAGCCTCCTAGCCTCCAGCCCCTCCCACGGCACTCCCTCCCCCTCACCAGCTCTGCTCATCACCAGCAGCAGGAGGCTGAAGGCAAGGACGGCAGTAGCCACCATGATGCCCCCAGGATCCCTCAGCTCTGGCTACTACTCCCCTGACCTCAGGGGTCTCTGGGGAGCCTCCCCTGTGGTAACCCGAGCAACGAGCCCCACCCCGGGGCCCAAGAGTCTAGAATCTTATTGCTAGGGTGGGTCTCTCCATGGCTACCAGTGTCCCTGAGGGTGGGGCTTCTGGGGGCTCAGGACCCCAGCCCCATGTTATCTCTGGCTGCTGCCCTTCCCCTCCCTGCAAGCTCCATGCCTCTGTGGGCTGTGCCCTGGGTTTGGGACGTGCTGTCTCCTGGCCACCTCCTCTTGGAATCTCTGGACTCTTCTGAGCTCTGATAGAAGGTGGCCTTTCCTCACCGGACATTCCTGGAGAGGAACGGCCTTGTATCTAGGGATCTGAGATCCCAGGTCAGCTGGACAGATGAGGAAACTGAAGGAGAGAAGACAAGGGATTGATTTGCCTGAGGCCCCAGAGCGAGCAGTAAGTGGCAGAAAGAGAATTCCAATTTAGTCCTCTTGACTGCAGGCCTCAGCATGGCTCTCCCATAGAAAGGAAACTCCTTGAGGGCAGATACTGGTTAATTTCTGCCTTAATCCGGGAGCCTGTGATTGAGAAGCCCTTGCTGACTGATTGGATTTGGAAAAGCTGTAGTGTGGGAGCTGGTGAAGAGGAGAGAGAGAGGGGTGCACAGCCTGGGGGGGTGGCCTCTGGCCCCCTCTGCCTGGAGCCAGGCCCCCACAGCTGGGGCTACCTCAATGAGCATGTGTGTGTGTGCACGCGAGTGTGTGATGCATGTGTGTGTGTGATGAGTGTGCGCTCATGCGTGCATGAGTGTGTGATGAGTGTGTGCATGTGTGTGTATGATGAGTGTGATGGATGTGTG